AGATTATAATTCCTTCAAACAACACACAATAGATATTTATCGCCTGTTGTTTGCGTGGGATCTTTGCCTGTGCCGGGGACGTTGATATCCGTGGACCGTCGCAGATCAGATCCGGTTGACAGATTTAAAATCAAAGCTTCTACTTCACGAAGGAAGTATTCACTGAAGTGGTAATCCCGACCAAGCGAGATTACGACTTTTCTCGTGATTTAAGACTAAGCTTAAATCCGGAGGAATATGGGGGAAAGGGGTTTCAGATCTCTCGAACTCTCTTCTTGTTTATGGAAAAACTTCGCCAAGATCTGCTAACCCTCTGAAATTTGTGGCTTCACTCTTAATTTTGACAGCACCTCGCCCCCTTCATTTCCAGATCATGAAATGAGCCCCTAGGCCTATATTTATAGGCTTCGGTTGGTGGGGTATTTGGATAAGAATGAGTGATTTTGCCTTATCTTCAGTTAATAACTGATTAATCATAGTATCAGATCAGTTGGGATATTCAGGAACAAATAAATCCTGAAAGAATCCGCGAAAACTGAAAAAATATATTTTTGGATCGGAACTAGCCGAATCGCCATCTGGTGGCTCGGCCATAGCCGAGCCAGCCTGGCCGGGTTGTTTTCACGCGACTCGGCAGCCAGGGGCTTTCTTGATTTTTCGGGTTTTGACTTGTTCCTTCGTTTACGTGTATTTCATTGTTTCGCTGACTGGTACACTTCCTCGATTTGCTTTGCATGTTTCGTGAATGCACGGATCTCTTGACGGTGGCCAATGAGTATACAGGCCACTTGGCGATGGCCGGTGAGTACGCGGACCACTTGGAACTGGCTTATGAGTGCGTGAGCCAATTAGAGGTGGCCGGTGAGCACACGGGATGCTTAGTTCGTCGTTCCGATGGCCGATGAGCATACGAGCCACTTGACGATGGCCGGTGAGTATGCATGCCACTTGGACAAATCTTCTCGACTTGGATGATGACGTTTATTGCCTCCTCTTCATCTCGAGCTGTATACGGGAATCTATAGGCATTTTTTTACGCCTACACCTCCCTCTGTCTATCAAGACTCTCAACATCCATAGTAATGGTTTGTAACTGCATCCCAACCTGCCCCACTTAGGTTACGACAAGCTTGCATGTCAAAAAAAATGAGTACGTAGACCTTTAATGTGATGCTTAACATGTTTTGAAGTGAATTCTGTCCCAAAATGATCATTAACTTAAAGGGCTACCATGTTAAATGCAGTTTCCTTAAAATTTTTATCAACTTTAAACCTTCTCTTAGCCAATTTTGTAAGACAATGGATGAGAATATCACCATGTTTTTGAGACCAAAATCTATGTCCACCGCCTATGTTACTGTCAGTTTTTGACTTCCTCTTCTTTGTTGATTTTTTCTTCATATATGTATCAAGTGTAATATCTGTTACTTCTTCTATGGGTGATCTTTTATTACTTCATGTTGATGTATTAGGTGAATTATGATTGAAATGATGATAATTGGATGGACCAGCAAGCATGTTCATGTATGTTATGTGTTGATGATGCACTAGTAAGTAGTTGCCATCTAAGTTTTGGACATTACTAAAAGCATTTGGTGGCATGAAATCCATGTTGACTTGGTTTATTGAGTTCAATGGTGGCATGAAACTGATGTTAAACCCACTAGTTACTTGACTCAGTGAGGTTCTTGGTGATTGAGATTGAGAATTATCACCCATTCCTGTATCAAAATAACATTGAGATATATACAAATAATTTTATGTATAATAAACATCAATGACTGAAACATAGTAGGAATATTATAACCACTTGTACATCTAACAAACCATCACATATTATAAATAACTTAAAGCAATTTCTCAACCATGTTTATGAAGTTTAAAAAGACAATAACACTAATGACACACCACATATACTAATTTTTGTCCAAAGCATAAATACAAATAACGAGTACTAAATTAAACTGCAATTTCGCTGGTGACACCTCTACGGTGTTGAACACATTAGTCAACCCATATTTCCTAAGCTATTTGATCTCTATGAGCCTTTCACTCATTTCTTGATTGTGTTTGCTCTCTTTGGGTTTGGATTTGGGTTTGCGAGAAGTCCACAAGATTATCATCATCATCAACTGCAACATCGCTATCTTCCTCTACAAGATCCATTCCTCGTTGAGTAGATCGTCAGTTGGATCTACAGTTACAATATAGTTATGGAGTTTAGTGCAAGCTAATACAATATCAATTTATGAATGAAATGGATAGTTGGGCTTAGCGGTTAGAATCTTGAACTGATTCTTCAATTCTCCGAAAGTAGATTTAATCTTCAACCTTAGGATTGTTAAGGATCTCTTGTGGCACTTCGTTAGGTGCTTGTCTCATATATCTTCCATTTAAATAGGAAATAGCTTCTAGAACTTTGTTGAAGTATCGACTACCAGTCTCCCTAGATCTAATAAATTAGGACCTCAAAATATTATTTTTTGTTTTATGACCCAATATATTTAATGTTATAGCAAGCTGCTCCTCTACTGTAACATGCCGTGAGTCCTTTAGTAAATCTGTTTTTTCTCATGATCTTTGCCGGCTTCATAAATGCCCCACTACACATTCTAACGTAGTTTAGACAACTATCACTAAATCCATAATATATACGGTTCAAATATTCATTTTTTTTTTATCATTTTGCATTCTTTTTTTCAAGTTTGGACCATTAGGTATGGATCTACGTCTACATTGCATTCTCCTCAAATAGGTAAATACTATAACCATAACAGAAAATACAACCCCTGAACACATTGTCATGACAATTTCTTCATCAACTCCATCACCATCCATCTACAATACCAAATTTATGTTACTAATTTTCAAATATATAAAAAAAATTTACTTGTAGTATTAATTTCAATTTAGCAATTAATCTATGAAAACTTAGCACTCAAGTTAAAATGAAACAATATATGAATATCAACTCTAAAACAATAACATACTAAATTCTTTAACATAGCATATAGCATAAAATTTGAGGTCCTTTTGATGAGACAATATGTCTTTTTGCAGATCCTCATGAGTAAGAAACAAATACATGAATATCAACTCCAACACAATAACCTACTAAATTCTTTAACATAGTATATAGCATGCAATTTCAGGAAACAAATACATGAATATCAACTCCAACACAGTAACCTACTAAATTCTTTAACATAACATATAACATGCAATTTGAGGCCCCTTTAACAACACAATATGTTTTTTTTAAAATAAACTCATGAGCAGACACTAAATACACCCATATTAACATAGCATATAACATAACATACAACTACAGGGGGTTTATCAGCAAGTAGCCCCTTATAATTTGTTGCTTTTATATTCTTAAGCAAAAATGTGCAATCCTGTACTCACAGACTGCAGACGACTTGCATTACAGCCTTCGGAAGTAGAATCAACATGGATCATAATCTTTTAAGGGCCCAACCAATGTTAGCGTGGTGGGTCGTCTTCACTGAACCTAATAAGATAGGCCCATCTCAAATTGTTATGCTAGACTCTTTCCTGTAAGAATTGCTAATTTAAAGTACGGGAAAGGCCATACAAAGAACGGATCTCGTAAAATTAGCATGAACTATAAGAAAGTTTGAACGAAACTAAGGTGAACTTTTCAATTAGAGAAGATAATACAAAAAATATAAATGAGCAAAAAAGAAAAGAAAAACTGTATAATTGTTTTTTTTTTTGTTGAAATGAACTGTATAATAGTTTTATGATAGTACATGAAAATCTATAATTTGTGATACAAACTCTAAATTACTTGTTTTATTTAAAAAAAAAGAGAAAAAAAGGTGGAGGCCTCGATAACTCATAAATTCTGATAGCAATTTACAAAAAAAATTACCACAAGAAATGTCCTGTTAAATATGTGAGAATAACATGAAGTTCTCACTTTTGATAACACCATCTCCAAATTAATAATTCATAGATTTATGAACAGTTCGTGAAGACTCTGTAAAGATCACTGAGAACTCATGGTAATTGTTTGTGTATATATTAATTATTTAACAAGAAAACAGATGTAAGGTGGAGTGTCATGGTAATTGTTGTGTATAAATTAATTATTTAAAAACAAAACGGCTAAATACCCATATTGGTATTTTAATTCCACTTCATTTACCAATAAGGTATTTTAATTAGGCAAACCCGCTTTAAGGCATTTTAATTGATTCAACTTACCAATAAGGCCATTTTTCTCGTCGGCAACTAGTTTTCCGGCGAGTGCTCGTCACGTGCGTGGCACGTGATGACTTAAACTGATTTTTAGCTGTTGATGCGGCATGGATCTGTCCTATTTTGGGTGAATTGGGATTGTTAGAGGGTTAACTCCCACTTTTAAACACCGTCACATCAGAAAATTTGTGCCACATCAGTAGCTAAAATACAGTTTAAGTCATCACGTGTCACGCACGTGACAAGCTCTCGCCGAAAAACTGGTCGCCGACGAGAAAAATGGTCTTATTGGTAAGTTGAATCAATTAAAATGCCTTAAAACAGGTTTGCCTAATTAAAATACCTTCTTGATAAATGGGGTGGAATTAAAATACCAATATGGGTATTTAGCCAAAAAAAAAAAAACAGATGTATGATGGAGTTTCTTTTGCGTTTATGAGGTAAAGGCGTCGCCACGCGTCCCACAATTTCCCGCCTCGCATCAGCTGCGCCTCTCTCTCTCCAATTTAGGTTTTATTAGGGTTTTAATTTCCTCACTTCCTTCACTCTCGTCGTCGTCGTCGGAGGAGTACATCAATGGCGACGCTCGTCAAATTGATCAATCCCCAAACCCTACCTTTCTCTTCCCCAAAACTCCCCTCCTCTCATAAATTCAGCCAAGTTCCGCCGCCAATTCGAACGACGAAGACGATACGTCCTTCTTCTTCTTCTCCTTCGATTGCGAGAGCTTCCTCTCCATCGTCGTCCTCTCCTGTGGCT